GTGACCTTGGGCAAGTCACTCTTCCTTTCAGGGCCTCAAAGAGCCCTGAGTCTATGGCAGTGAGAGACAACCCCCTGGTGGTGCAGGTAAACTGCCCACTCCCCTTCTCTCATGGCTGCAACGTCACTGAGGAGCTTACATTGCCGGACTTTCATCACTGGCCCAAGTCCTGTGCCCAGCTGCCTGCTCCACACCTACAGCCCCCAGAACAGAACTCTGGATCCTCCCACACACTTCTGCTTGGCTGTCTCCAGCCCAGTAAATGATGCCATGGCCCATGTAGCTGCCGAAGCTACAGACGCCCCCATCACCCAGCAGCTCGGATGAGTCTCACGCGGACCAAAAGCCAGGGCGAGAAAGGAACACCTGTGCGGCTCCGTGTCTGCGAAGGTCAAGACCTGCAGGGCGCGAGGATGGTTCCCCTGGGACAGCGGGTGGGGACTGACCGGAGAGGAGACGAGGGAACTTCTGGGGGCTGAACAGCATCTGTGTCTTAACCTTGGAGCCAGTTTTGCGGCTGTGCTGGGTTAAAACATTTTCATCGTCAGCCTAGATTCACCACGCCCCCCCAACTTCACACAGCAGGAGAGAGAAATCTCATCTCACATACCTTCCATCCTTGCAGGGGCGAGTGGGGGTGGGCGGGCAAGAAAGACAGGTCATTTGTCATAAATCAGAGATCAGACCACCCAGGGGGCGAAGGACGAGGGTCAGGGAGGGACAGTAGGCACAGAAGGGAACCGAGCAGGCATATGCTGGTGAAAATCTCAGCGCCTTCGAACAGGTCGCGGTGCGTACTAGGGAGGAAGAGAAACCGGGGCAGGGCAATCGGAAGTTGTCACTTTAGGGGCTGACATCGGAAGTTGGTATATTTACCAGTTGATAGTCTGGCCCCTGGTTTTATTGCCTGTAGAACACTTACCTGACTGGACCTGAGCCCAACTTCTCCCAAACTGACCGCCTCGAGTCCTCCCCGCCGAGTCTCAGCCTTCGGCCCTGCCACCCTAGGAGGGGGGTCAGTACACACGTCATGGACGAGTGAGCCAAGGGGGACAGGCTGGCCTGCCGTTGTGGATGGGGCGCACGTCCTCGCAGCGAGGTCCTCACCTGCCCCTGGGTGCTCGCTCCGTGCCGCCCACCAGGCCTGCGTTGCACCAGGCCGTTCACCGAGGGAGGTGTGGGGCGTGGGCCCGATCTCAGCTCCGTGCTTCCTCGCTGGGTGGCCTTGGCAAGCTCCTTCCCTCTCTGAGTTGGCTTCCCGGGCTGCAAAATGGGGACGTTACATGTGGGCAGGGGATGGGAAGGGCCAGCACAGGCCTGGCCCACGGGAGGTAATGTGAGCTGGGGGGCCCAGCAGCCCATCGGACGAAGAGGGTGGGGAGTGGAGGGGTTCTTAGGGAAGAATCATTAACTGGGGGCTCTGGGATTTGGATTTCGGCTTGTGTGACTTGGGCAAGTCACCTCCCCTCTCGGATCCCAGCTTGGTTCCAAGATAAACATACGGCTGCATTTGGGGGTGGGCACTGGGACGGGGGCGCTTTGGTTTGTGGAGCCCCACCTGGGAACAGGAGGGCGCGGGGTGGTGTCTGGGGCAGACAATGGGCGCAGTGTGTGGGGGCCCAGGGTGGGGGTGGGGCAGGCACAGCGGCACCCCAGCTGGAATGTGCTGGCCTGTCTGGGAATTTGAGCACATGGCTCCCCTCGTGGCCAGCTCCCCCAAAGTGGGCTCCCTCACTGGCCTCGCCCACCCTGTCACACGTGGTCAAGAGCCTGGAATGGCCAAGGGAGGCACTGACAGACCGGAAGTTCCCCGGTCTCCACCCCAGCAAGCCTGAGCAACCTCTGGGGGACAGAATGATAGGGGTGGGCCCACGAGGCTTCCCCATGCAGCTGACCTGCTACATGACCTTGGGCGGGTCCCTGTCTCTCTCCAGGCCTCAGTTTCCCCATCTGTGGTCCCTGATCACCCTACAGGGAGGGACTTCCTTGGGTTGAACATCTCTCCCGGCCCAGTCCCTCACTGCCTCCTCCCTGTCTGCCCACCCCGCGGAGACGGGCTGTGGTCTTAGTGACTGTGCTCAGTGACCAGTTGCTGAACAAAGGCCTTTTGCTCTCTTTCAGATTGCTTTCTGCCGGCTGCCCTCGGCGCCCTCGCTGCCCTTCTCGTCCTGCCCCGTCGGCTGCTTTTGCCGGTGGGTTCTGGGGGCGCTGGGCTCTCCCCAGCAGCTTCCAGTGGGGCTCAGCCCATGGAGGCCCTGGCAGATGGGAGGGTGGGGGGAGACCGCCGGGGGCATCCCTTTCTTTCTTTCTCTTTTTTCAGGCAAACCAGAAGGGTACCTAAAAATGAAAAACATTATAACACAGTCGGCTGGCAATATGCTGCTTTAGAAGGTCCGAGATGCCAGTGGGCTGGACGTGCTGACGCCGTGTGGGCTCCAGGGGCCACGGCGTGGGTCCCTCAGCTTGTCCCCAGGGGGAGGCCTCCGTCCTCCTGGTGTCATTTGTGACCAGGCCGGTTCTGAACTCCCTTGTCCTGGGAGGAAGACTGCCCGAGTCTGACCTTCACCCCTGATGACGACATTCGTTTACATTGTCTCCTTAAGTCCCACCTGCACCCCAGTTTCCCAGGCTGGCTGACAGGCGAGAGCCTGGTTTATGGAGAACCAGAGCTTTGGGACCAGGAGGGAGTATTTCTCCCCCGCTCCCTCCTCGGTCCCAGCGGATGCCAAGCTTCCGTGGCTGTAGCCCCTCTGCGTGCTGCCTTCCTGCCCAGCTCCTCTGTCCAGGGTTTTCAGGACCCTCGGTCCCTCCACGCCCCCAGCTCTGGGATCCTCATAGGCATTTCTCCCTGAAGCTTCCCATTCCATCTGCCCGCCACACGGAGTGGTCCCTCCCCCAGGATTTCCTCCCCTGAAGCCCCTGATGTCTGTCTCTTGCCAGGATGTGGACTGTGCTTCTGGGCAGGGAGCGTTCCTGATCCCCCCATTCACAGATAAGAACCCCGAGGCCCGGAGCAGCACTGAATGGCTTTAAGCCTTGCTGCCAGGCACGCCAAGGTTTGAACCCACGCTTCCTTACTCCCGTGTCTGGGGCCTGTGGTGCTGGGCAGCACTTGATTTTAGCTTTTCTGATGACCACAGTGCTAAAAGCTTAGTGTGCTCCGGCGGAATGCCCAGCAAGTAATAAAAACGACCAGGGTCATGGTCCGGGGCCCACTCGGGCACAGCTCTGGGCCCTGGGCCAAGGGCGTGTGTGAGGTGTCTGAGCTCCTCTCTTCGGCAGGGGCTGTGGGGAAGGAGTCCAGGCGGGCGAGGGGGCTGTGGCCTGGGCAGGAGTGGAGGGCTGGCGGCCTTTGAGGCTGGTCCCCATGGGTCGGCCGTCTGTCACCATCCTGCAGCCAGGGCAGCAGACGGCCTGGTTCTGGGGGAAATCCCCAGCTGGGGAGTGCAGGGGCCAGACAGGCTCCCGAACTCCAGAGGTAGCCCGGGCTGCTGGGTGACTTCACGGGCCTTTCCCACTCGTGAGTCACTGGTGCCTCACTCCCTGACCCCTGGGGCACCTTTGAAGGGAGGGCAGGCCACAGAAGTGCTGGTGGGCAGGGCTGGGCTCTGTCACCTAACGGTGCCGGAGGAGGGAGGGAGGGAGAGGATGGCCGAGGTATTGCCCCAGCGTGCTGTGCGGAGGGGCACACTAGCCCCTCTCTGAGCCTCAGGGACCACATCGCCCTCTCTGGGGGCTTCATCTAGAGCCCCCCCCCCCACTTTGTTCTAGTGTGGATCTGCTGGAATGGGCCAGCGGGGGACTTTGGACGCGGCTGCACCACGGTGAAGGAATATGTCCCTGTCTGGCTCCTCCCGGCCCCACCCCAGCACAGGTGTGAATCAGCCCAGGTGAGGAAGCTGACTCACTTATCCCACTTTCTCTTTTCTTCGGGTTGGACTAGAACTTGAACTTGACTGTTATCCTCAGAAGAGAGTTATTCTGCCACGGGGGTGAGGAGGGACACAGTGCCAGGACTTACGGAGTTAGGTCTCTAAAAGACAGGCATTGAACGCCTAAGAAGCTCCAGGCTGATGGCCTCATTATCTTGGAGAATTGCAGGCCAACCCGCTCTCTGTGCCATTTGCAGATGAGGAAACTGAGGTTCAGAGCGGGGAGTGACCGACCCAAGGTCACGCTGCCCAGATACATGCCTGTGGATGGAGGTCTGACCAAGCCCGGGATTCTGGGTTTTGGAAAAGCTTTCTTGCTCCATCGCATCCGTAGCTCCCCAGTCCCCCTGGAGCCCGAGGGGGGAGATGGGGAGGGGCCGGGCAGGGAGGGAACGGGGAGCAGAGCCAGGGGCTTCTTTATACTCCCACCCACGTCACACGGTTCAGAAGCCACCAGGGAAAGCGTCAGCTCCTTCCCTGTGCCCCCATGATGGGTTATTCTATCCCTCACTGTCCAGCCGGCTGTTGTCAATCTTTAAACAGCCTGATAGTTAATCAATTACAAGACCCGGGGGCTCAGTTGAGTGCACCTCAAGTCAGTGACCAGGGAGCTGTCTTCCCAGCCTCAGTCACGTGGGGTCTGCTGGAACCCGCAGGGCACTCTGGGAGTTCTGTGTCTTTGAGCCCAGCACCACACACTGGACAGGATGGGCCCAGTCTGAGTCTCAGTTTGCTTCACTGTCCTGCCCGCCTCCCCAGGTGAACCAGGAAAAATGACTCCCACGTGGAAACACTGGGGCTGTAGCTGCTGGGTGCGGGGAGATCTGGGGACTGGATTCTTGCTGAGAAGCAGCAAGGCAGGGCGAATGTTCCTAACACCAGAGGTGACTTTGGCCACGACCTTTCTCCACTTTCTGCCTTGGTTTCCCCACCTGTGAAAGGAAGGGTGGGGATCAGCGGATGCCCAAGCCCCTGGGGGGCCCCTCATGGGTGAGCAGGTTCTTGGTGCCAGGCAGAGCCCCCGTTCCCCCCCCCCCGCATCTCCTCCACACCCCAGGTGCTCGGCTCACCCCCAGGGAGGTGCCGGGCTGTGAATGTCAGTCGGTCATCTCCAGGGACAGGAAAGGCCCATTATCTGGAGGTGGAGGACCCAGTCCACCGGGGCAGGGGTGGGAGAAATGCTGGCTCCGCCCACCTGGCCTGTTTTCACGTCGTCCCTGAGAAAACAGCCTGGAAAACCCGAGACACTGACCCTGGAGGTGAGGGGCCTTTGGGAGCATCAGGTTTTCTGGGATTTTAGAATTTTTAAAGCTGGCAGTGAAATAACACAGGTAACGCCTACATTCCTAAGCAGACTTTCATAGTTAGAGGGCAGGTGCGTTTGCCTGCCCAACATGTAGGGTCGAATAGTGGCCCCCGAAAGGGTTCTGGTCTTCCCAGAAGCCAGAATAAGAAAGCAAGGATCTCCAAGTAAGATCATACTGGGGTTGGAGCCCTAAATCCAATGATAGCATCCTTGTAAGAGAAAGAAGGGGGCGATGTGGAAGCAAAGATACAGGAAAAGCCACGTGGGACAGAGGGGGTGAGCGGAGCAAAGCAGCCACAGCCAAGGGTGGTGGGGACTTGCCAGAAGCTGGAAAAGCGGGAAGGGTTCCCCCAGAACCTCGGACTCCAGCCTCCAGAGCCGTGAGAATAGGCGTCTGTTGTTGAGGCCCCTGGTCTGTGGGACGCTGTCACCAGCCACCTCAGGATACCAGCACACGCCCCAATCCCCCAGGGACCTCACAATCTGTTGCCTGTCCCTCCCCTCTGCTCCTCACATGCAAATAACTGTGTTATATGCACAGAACTGGTGTGCTTTTATAGCTTAACAGGCTCGCAGCTCACAGAATGAATGCTCCATAGATGGCTCCGCCCCGCCCTCTGCATCCAGGAGAAGCCTCCTGGTCTTACCCCAATAGCCGATCTTGTCCTCTCGGGTGGCCACAGAGAATCCGTTGTGTCCTTCCACCCTCCCTTATTTAAGGAGCCCTGGTTGACGGACCTGAGGTCGTTCCCAGCTTCTCTCGATGACACCCGGTGCCAGAGTGAACAGCTTTGCTCTCTCTTCTGCACCCTCCTGGTGATTTCTGGAGCATAGAAGCTTCCTTAGGAGGATCGCTGGGTCCAAGGGTAAGCTCCTTCACAATTTAATTATTTTTGTCGAATTGAGTCTAAAGGAATTGGGATAGGTGAAGAGAAAGCAGAGGAGATAGGGGACCCTGGGACCTGGGGCAGGGGTCTGAGGGAGCTCCGGCAGGGGGTGAGGCACCTCCCCAGTCTGGGCACCCAGTCCCCCTGTCCCACAAGGCTGCCCCTTTCCAGCCGAGGTGCCAGGCCAGTTGTGCCTCTGTAGCCACCCTCAGTGGCCCCTCTGTGTGTGGCACGGAAGAAGATGGGAACAGGAAGAGCCGGGGAGGGGCAGAGGAAATGGGCCACTTCTCCAGGGTTCATCTGCTAGCCCGGGCTGGGGGGTCTGGAGTCTAGGGTTGGGGGGCTCTGGGCTAGACAGCGGTTGACTACCCTGGGGCCGTGCTGCACCCCCTGATTATCTGATGCTCCTCTTACCAAAGGTGGGGCTCCACATCCCCTTCCCTTGAATCGGGGCTCTGTGGGCGTTTGAGCAGCACAGTGGTAGTGATGGCGGGTCTGAGCCCAGGCCGGGGCATGAGAAACTGCACCTGCCGTGTCTCCCTCGTAGGACCCTCGCGCTGGGAACCCAGTTACCACGCTGTGAGGGAGCCCAGCAGCTCCTCGGGAAGGCTGTGTGGGGAGCAACAGGGGCCCCCCGCTCTCATAGCCACAGAGCTAACAGGCCATCCAGCCCCCCAGGGGTTGCCCCCCATGGATGCCACCGAGAACAGGGACCCACCTTTCCTCCTTGGCCCTGCCAAATGTGGGGACCAGCGAGCCGTGCAAATGCTCACTTTGGTTATAAGCTGCTGCACTTTGTCGTCACATGTCACAGCTCGATGGGAGCATCGGGACACTCCATGGCCAGGAAAGTCACCACCAGGGCCCGAACACCGGCTTCGGGGTCAGTCGGACCAGCTCCGTGCCAGGACCTCTCTGGGTTTCGGTTTCTTCCTCTGCACACAGTGATGGCACCTGGGTGGGGAAGGTGAACCAAGGTGATGCGTGGAGGGGGCGGGGCCTCGTGCGAGCACACAGTAAACGGCAGCTGTTAGGACTGTAGACTGCTGCTGTTGTTATTTTTAAAAAGATTTTATTTACTTATTTTTAGACAGAGGGGAAGGGTGAGAGAAAGAGAGGGAGAGAAACGTCAGTGTGTGGTTGCCTCTTGCCTGCCCCCTATTGAGGACCTGGCCTACAACCCAGGCATATGCCCTGATTGGGAATCGAACCCCAATCCTTTGGTTCACAGGCTGGTGCTCAATCCACTGAGCCACACCAGCCAGGGCTGTTGTTATTTTCATAGGCGTCAGAAAATTGCTCACTCTGGGCTTTAGTAAAACAGGCAGATCTTCTATGGTTCGTGCCTTCAGGGGCCTCCTCTTTCAGGCAGCCTTCCTAGGCTGCACTGCCTTCTCCTTGGTGCACCTACCACCCCCGTCCCACCCCCTGGCACAACGTGGGTTGCGCTGTGCGGTCAGGGCCTGTTTACAGCCCCACGAGGGGAGCTCCGTGAAGGCATCGTCAGAAGGGCCGGCAAGTGCTTGGGATGTCCAGACAAGGTACGTGTGCATGCAGGTGCCCCAGGGTGCTTGCATAGCTGAGTGACTCCCACCCAGCCTGTGGGCCCTGAGTGAACACTAGGGTAGGCCTGGGCCTCTGTGTGTTTTGGTGGGCCTGTCTGTGAACACATGAATAACTGCACACATGCCTGCAGGTCCGTGTGGCGTGTCTCTGTGCACGTGTGGGGCACACACACATGCACACGCCTGTGTGTGAATGCATTCATATGCATGTGCTCACGTATTTGCACGAGTGCTGTATGTGGGGGTGTGTTCATGCGTGTGCGTGCTCATGTCCAGGGGCAGGCCGCTGTACTGAAAAGACTCCTTGTAGCAGCTGCTGCATCTGGGTCCCACCATTCCTCATTTGAGAACTAAAAATAGCTGTGCCCAGCCCTGCCCCAGCAGGCAGGGGGCCGATAGGCAGCCCCACAGGGCGCCCGAGCCAAGCTGCTGACCTCCTCCCTTCTCAGGCCACTGCCCTGTTGGCCCCTCCCTGCTGTGGACTCCCATGAGCTCATGCAGGCCCTGCTCAGCCAGGACAGGGTGGGGGTGGGGACCTGCTGAGGCCCTGCCCACGACCAGGCTACTGGACACAAGCAGGGCCTGATAAGGTCAAGCATGAAGTGGGGTCCGCCCCCTCCCTCCAGGGCCAGCAGGGCGGACGTGAGTCAGCATGGGGGGCACTGAGCAGCCAAGCCTGACCCCTGGCTGGCGGCAGACAAGGCTGGTCATGGACAGGGGCGCCCTTCTGGGCAGGGCAGGAACTGGCCTGGAGGAATCTCGTCTGAGTGATGCACACACCTTGACCTCCTGGTACTTGACCCTGAGGAACCCATCTCAACTTCCACCTAGAAAGCCCCTCTCGGAGTCCCCTGAGGACATCCTGCCCTGGACCGGCCACAGCCTTGGCCTCTGGAGGGTTGATGCCCACCCCAAAGAAGGCACTTCCCGGTCTAGCTGGGCGTCCCCGGAACTCCCCCCTGCCTGTGTGGCAGCTGCTCGCTCAGTCCAGCTGGTTTCTTGTCTGGAGAGTCAGAACTTCCGAGGGTGGGGAAGTTTGTCTTTGCCTCCTCATGTTTGCACTGTGGTCCTTCACTCTGCCTTCCCCACAGTCACAGTCCAGGAGGTGTCACTGCGTCCTCCTCTACAGGGGAGGATGCCAAGGCCCTGCTGAGAGGGGGCTGGCCCAAAGTCCCCATTCACTGTGTGACTTTCGGCTAATGGCTTAACCTCTCTGGTCTCCTTATCAGAGGAATCAGTGGGACACTAGTCTCCTCCTGGTGATGCTGTGTGTTGTCTATGGGCCTGTCTCTATGGAGACACAGTGAATTCTTGAGGTGCACATCCCACCTTGGGCAGGATGCACTGTGGGGCTCCCCAGTCACAGGCTCTGCTGGGGACTGTGCAGTCCCCACCTGGACCGGAGGTTCAGGGGTGGAAAAGCTTCTGGCTGGAATGCAGATGGTCTCTAAACCTGGGGCTGAGCCATTCCCGGAAGGAATCCAGCTGCGCTGAGCCCAGCTGGACAGGCAGGGGTGCGAGGGTCTGGCTGGGGGAGCCAGGAACTGCCACGCCAGCTCTCAGGAAGGGACCTGGAGAAGGAGCCTGTGGCCTCGGGTTGGCCAGGGACAGACCTCAGGCTGAGAATCCTTGGCAGAGAAAGGGGAGAACCTAGGCGAGGAGCAGGGACACCCTGGGAACCTGGCTCCTGAGCTCTGAGCCAGCTCCCGTAACTCTGGTTGTATGACTGTTTCCTCATCTGTAAAATGGGGTTATAACCGCCTCACCTCACAGACTTGTTGTGAGAACTGAGAGGCTGATGTGCAGGGGCTTGGTCCACAGCGGGCCTCGTTCGGGATGGCTCCCCTCCCCCATCAACTCCGGCTCCCAAGGAGTTGTTGGTCCCAGCCCCTTGGACACCTGCAAATTCCCCTTCATGTCCCAGGCTCAGAGAATGAATTACAAGGGGGGAGGTGCGGAGAAGAGGGGACAATTAAAACAAGCAAAAAACTATTTGCTTATTGAAGAGCTAACGCACTCACATGTCCAACCATCAAAATACATAAAAGTATTTTAAAAACTGAAAGCTTCCCTCCCACCCAGTTCTCTGGTCCAGTTCCAGAGTCTTCCAGAGACGCAGCTGCATATGGGCCTGTGCAGATACATGCAAAGATATATTCTTTTCTCCTCCTTAAACACGCACCCCGTAAGGGGCGAACCCCCTCTTGCCCCTCAGGGGCGCCTGACTCAGTGCACGCAGCACCTCCTTGTTCTGTTTGGTGCCTGTGGCCTGTGGGTGTTCCAGCGCTTTTTTGACTGGGCTGCGTACGGGGGTGACTTGTGGGAGACCTGGGGTTGGGCCCAGGCTGTGACGCACCCCACGGGGCGGCTTGCACGTCTTGCTTCTCTTAACTTAGCCTCGGTTTTCTCAGCTGTGCGACGCTGGTTGTAGCCATCAATGAGGTAATGTTGCTAACCAGTGGCCCCCTGGGGCTGTATTCTGCTCATGGGTGTGTTTTACTCCCCCAGGTTTCCCAATATCTGGAGATTTCGCATTAAAATTCATATTTCTGCTTTCTCTGGCAACAGCTGGTGAGAGCCCTTTGCATTGGGGCAAGGGTGTGGGCTGGGCCCTGGGCCCCAGCCCTCCCCACTGTGCACTTGCATCCACTCCTGCCTGAACTTGTCCGCCTCCTCCACAGGACGGTGGTCTCTGATGCTGGGGCTCCAGTCACACCGGCCTAATGGGGGCTTTGTGAACTCCCCAAGGACAGAGTCCCCAGTGGCCAGCCTAGGCCCTGCTTCACCGTCTGAAGTGTCTGGGCCTCGGTAGTGGGAGCCACCAGGAATCCAGGCCTGGGGATGCAGACCCAGAGCCAGAGGCTCCGGAGTGTCTCCCGAGCAGTAGGGAAGCGGAAATGCCGGCACTGTTTCCGGGACATGCTCTGGGCTCCGAGCCAGACCTTGCATCTTGGGAAGCGGCGGCTGAGGCTTCTTCTCCAGGCTGGAGCCGGAAGCAGGGCTACAAGCACCTGGAGTTCCCATCTCCTGGTCCCCAGGATGCGGATTCCTGCTCACGACCCCCACGCCTTCCTCTTCCCCACCGACATTTGGCAGCTACATCCTGCCCTTGGGGGTGGGTCTGGCCTGCAGGGAGGCAGGGATGTGGTTGAAGTCAGGAGTGGTTGGAACCCCTTCTTGGCCCTGGGGTGCCTGGGAACACGGTTTGAAAACCACTGCTGGAGCCCTTCAGACAGATGGGAAAACAGAGGCCTGGAGCTGGGAACAGTGGGAGAGTTAGACCCTGGGGGTTCTGACAGCCACTCCCCCCCGCCTCCAGTTACTACTGATCCTGGCACGTGCAAACCCAGCTCAGCTCACGGTGTCCATAGCCCACCTCCCCCGGAAATGCTGCCCTGTTCTTGTTTGTCCAGAAGGCCAGGGCGAGTTGGGGTTCCTTCATTTCCTGTGTCGGACACCCCACTTCTCTCAGCCTTACTTTGCCACACCTGCTAAGTGCCCACCTCACAGAGGCGTTTGGTGTAAAGAACAAAAGAGACGATGGTGCCAATAATGAGCACCCCAGCCCTGGCTGCTGCCACTCCCTGAGCTCTCCCTAGACCCCAGGCTGGGGGCAGCTCATTCATCAGAACAGATTTATCGACATATAATTCACATACCATGGAGCCAACTCATTTAAAGTGTGGGGTTCAACGGTTTGGGCATATTTAAAGTTGTACAGCCATCCTCACAATCTGATTTTAGATTGTCCCCAACAGAAACCCAATGCCCATTGGCAGAGCCTGCCATTCCCCCTTCTCCAGCCTGTGGAACCACCGACCTAATCTCCAGGGACCTGCCTCTCCTGAACATGTGATGCCCGTAGGACGTGTGGTCTGTGACTGTCTTCTTTCCCTCAGCACAGCGCTGTGGCTGTGTTGGTGCTTCGTTCCTTTGCTGGCTGTGTAATGTTCCATCGCGTGGCAACACCGCATTCGGTTTGTCCCTTCGTGCGGGGACAGGCATGTGGGCTGTTTCCATTTTTTGTCTGTGACGAAGAATACCGTCCTGAGCACTCCTGTTCAAGTCTCTGTGTGGACAAAAGTTTTCATTTTTCTTGGGTCTATATTTAGGTGGGGAATTACTGGGTCATCTGGTAACTAGTTCACAGTCTGAGGAACTGTTTAATTGTTTCCAACATGGTTGAATCACTTTCCATGCCCACCAGCCACGTGCCAGGGTTGCGATGCCTCCACACCCCTGCCGACACTTGTTACTGTGTGTCTTTTCAATTACAGCGATCCTGGTGGGTGTGGACTGCTATTTCATCATGGGGTTGATTTTGATTTCCCCACCCACTAATCACGTCGATCTTTTTTTCATGTGCTTATTACCCATTTCTATATATGGGGGAACTGCCTATTCAAAAACAGCAGCATCTCATTCAATTCTCAAAACATCGCGAGATTTGTGCGTCATCGGCTCCACCAATGACGATGAGAAAACTGAGCCCTGGCTGGTGTAGCTCAGCGGATTGAGCACGGGCCTGTGAACCAGACAATCGCGGTTCGATTCCCAGTCAGGGCACATTCCTGGGTTGCAGACCGGTTCCCTGCAGGCCAGTTCCCAGCAGGGGATGCACGAAAGGCAACCATACATTGATGTTTCTCTCCCTCGCTCCTTCCCTTTCCCTCTAAAGATAAATAAATAAAATATTAAAAAAAAAAAGAAAACTGAGGTTCAAAGATGCTAACGAGAGGTGGCAGGGCTGGCGAGATCCAGGCCTCTGTGCTGGGGCGCTGAATCTGGGGGGGCGGTGGAGAGGGCCCCGAGCATCACAAAGTTGTGGGAGTGGAGCGTGTGGGTGACTGGGTGAGGCGGGGTGGGCAGGAGGTACGAGGAGCCCCTGTGGAGCTGTAGCCTGAAGAACTGAGCTCTGAGTCTTATTCCTGTCTGCCTGTTTCATCCGATGACCTTGCACAAGACGCCTCCCGCTCCAGCCCTCAGTTTGCCCTTCTACCTAAGCCTCTATTCTGCTGTGAGAATCAGATTTGGTGCTACAGGTGAACTCACTGAAGGCAAGATGAGGGCATGTTGCAGACTCTTGGCGCCCTGCAGTCACTGGCCTGCCAGGGCGGGCTGCGAGCAGGGGCCTTGGTCTGGGGCACCAAACACGGGGAGGTGCTGAGCCTGCAGGGAGATATCACTCAGGCTGCTGGAGAGCAGGTGGGTCGGGCTGGGCTGCTTGTCTGTGGGAAGCAGCACATTTGTTCCTGTGAGTATGTCCTTCCCACTGTCCACCTGCTGCCTCCACCTGGGGCCGGGGGTGAGGCAGGAAGCCGAAAAGGGGGGCTGGGGTTGGGTCAGGCTGCGGGGGAAGCTAGGCTGAGAGGCCCTCCTCTGGTATAGAAACTGAGCAGATTTACTCATTGATTCAGTGATTGATTGATTGATTGATTGATTCGTTCATTCATTCACTTAGTCACTTGACGAATGACCTCACATTTGCTGGTCATCCACCCAGCTCTTCCCCAGACTGGTGCCTTCCTGCTACCAGCACTGACCTGCACCAAGAACCGAATACACTCAGCCCTGCCCTCCTAAAGCCCCAAGTAGAGCAGGAGAGACAGAAAGAGGGCCGGTCGTTATGATCTCCATTACGGATGGGGACGCCAGGGACTGGGTCGAGCTGCCCCAGTGAGTTGGTTGCAGAGCAAGGGCCAGAAACCTGGCGTCTTGCTCCCGGCCTTGGGTTCCTTCCCACACCATGTGCCCCTTCCTCTCAGCTCCGTGCCCCACCCTCTAGAATCCAGACCTGGTGCTCCGCACTGCCCTCCCCTCTTCTCCCAGTAGGTGGCTGGTATGTGAGGACAAATGTCTGGTGTGCTGAAGAGGAACTAGCAGCAGCTGGGAGGATCTGGGTTCAAGCGCTCACTCCACTATCAAGATGCTGTGTGACATGGACAAGAACCCCCAGCCTCTCTGGTTCTAGCTTCTTCACTGGTCACCCAGAGGGCTGGACTGGGTGCTTCTGAAGGGTTCTTGGTAGGGGCTGTGTCTTACGCTGGGTCAGGGTGACTTTTCTGGGGGAGGGATGGGTGCAACCAGGCTTAGGGAAGGGTGGCTACACCCTACGGGTCATTTTCCAGGGACACTGGAGACTGGCTCCCCTCCCCACCAGCTCTGGCCCCACTTATCATCTGCCTGTCTCAGGTGGCCCTTCCGAGCGGCTCCTCGGGTTTCGGCCTGGAGTCTGTGGTAGGGGGATCGTGGGAGACCCGAGGGGCAGGTGGGTGGCCCCACTGCTAGGAGGGCTCCGGGCACCCTGTCTCCCCCGGGTTATCTCTGGTCTGGGACAAGCTGGGAACGTGAGAAGCAGAGTTATCTCCTCCACTTCCCTCCGGAGATAGAGCTGCTTCAAAGCTCTCTTGTTCTGCCCCCCTCGTGCCCGCTGCCCCCACCCCAGGAAATGGGGGGTGGGCACTGCTACAGCGCCAAGGCCACAGAGGGAGACAGAAGTGAGTCTGAGTGGACCCGACATGGGGCAGGGAGCAAGGGGCCCTCACTCAGCACATCTCATTGAGCACCTACTATGGACAGAGTGAGGAGCACCACTGCGGCAATGGCAACCGGACGCCACGTGGGATCCTGGAGGGGGTCTGGAACAGGGAGAGGGCTGCTGGCACAGCCGGTGACGTCTGAGTGGAGTCTAGTTACAGGGTGTCTGTGTCTGCGTTAATGTGCTCATTTGGGTCGACGTAGCACAGTTACGTCACGCCGACATGAGGGGGTCTGGGCGGCCAGCTCACATGAACTCTGGTTCACCTTTACAACTCTGGAAAGCTAGAGTGAGTTCTAAATAAAAAGAAAAAAATGAGGGAGGGGAGAGGGTCGAAGTCAGAGCGGACACGTGTGACAGAAACGGATCGGCTGAGCCGCTGGCTTTGATGATGGGATGCAGGGGCCTCTAGGAGCCGGAAAAGGCCAGGAAGCCGACTGTCCCCTGGAGCCTCCGGGAGGGGCGCCGCCCTGCTGACATCTGGATCTCCACAACTGTAAGATAAGGAAATGTGTTCTTGAGTCACCTGTGTGTGCTCCCTAGTTACAGCAGCTCAGACGGAAGGTAAGGGGGTGCTACTGATGGCGGGTGCTCAGGCCCGGGGGTCCTGGAAGCACTTTCTGTAGGTTAACTCGGTTAACCTTCAACCCCCTCTTTGCAGAGGTGCTGTGCTTGTTCCCATTTCACAGATGAGAAAACTAAGGCACAGGGAGGGGAAGGGACCCGCCCAGGGCCCTATCGCGGGAAGCAGCAGAGCGGGATTCTGACTCAGGTTGGCCGTGTGTGGCCACTGCCCTCATTGCCCTGCCCACAATGTGCGGGATTCCGCTCCCACCTGGGTGGGTTAGGCCCTTTACAGGAAGGTCAGGGTGAGTTGCACCACTACCCTGGGGTGGGGGGAGACGTTCTGTCATTGTCTGTTTTGCAGGAACTAGGCTGGGGACTGCTCCCCAGCGGCGCCACTGCCTGCAACCTGGGCCTGCTGCCCCCGCCTCCGCATTCCCTGTGCTCCCTGAGTGGTAATGGCATCCTCATCAGATGTCCCACACCCCTGCATGCCAGAGGCAGAGGGACATCCCGGCCCCATTGTTCGGGCCAGGAAGCCACCCCCTCCCTCCGGGGCCAGGGGAGGTGGGCGGGCGGTCTCTGGGGGGAAGTGCCTTCCAGAGGCGAAGGCTCAGGGACCAGGCCGGGGCTGGGGCTGGGACAGAAGACACACTCGCCCTTTAAAGGCGGGGCCCGGGTGGGGGCTGCGCACCCCTGGGTCACTAAGTCTCTTCTCAGAAACTCCTTCTGGGGGATGGACCAGGACCCAGGACCCAGGACCCAGGGCAGAGGGTGAGAGTGAGAGGGGTGGGGGCCAGGGGCTTGTACAGGCCTGGCCACCTCCCACTCTGGGCTCAGTTCCTCAGCTGTACAGTGGGCGATGGGGCTGCAGCTCTTAAGCCCCTGGAGTTCTGGGAGCCTATGAACCCCAGGGCGCAAGCTCCCTGTCCAGTCACTGTAACAGAGTGAACACTCCCTGGGCCGTCCACGCCAGGCCTGTGCCAGCTACATCTCACCATGACGGGAACAAAACATGCCGCTGCAGTCTGGTTTGGCGGGGAGGACACTGAGGCACAGGGAGGCTAAGGAGTGCAGCGGACGGACCCCCAAGCTGGGATGAGCACCCGGGATTCAAGGCCACCAGCCCCGCCCACTTGTCCTGGGGCCGCTGTTCACTCTCCCTTTCTCTCCTAACCCACAGAGTGGAATCAGGGGTTGGGGGCTGGGGACCGAGGGTCTCCCATGGGGGTGGGTTGTGGGAACTCGAGAATGCGGGTGTTGCTGGTGCTCCCCTCTCTCTCACCCGGCCAGGCCCTGTGTCCTCTCTGGATTTGGAGCTAGTTATAAACCTCCCCGGGGAGGGAGGGCTTCTTGGAGGAGGAGGAGGCATATCAGTTGAGCAAGAGGAAGCATTAAGCAGGTCGAGGAAGAGGGAGAGGGCATTCTGAGCACAGGGTGCCCCGGGTCCAAAAAACAGGAAATCTCTGATCTGACTCGTCACTTCCAGCTGCCAGACTCATTTTCCCAGTGCTGCTTCTTGGACCTGCGCTGTCCTTGGGACCCCTCTGACCTTCCTCTGGCCAGGGCCGGGCTGTCTGCACCCTGTGGGGCTCCCGGTACCTGACAGCTTCCGTGCCGCACTACCAGCCAGGTGCATTCAAAAGCCCAGACTCAGGAGCCGCATGGACCACGTCAAATCCTGCCTGTCACAGCCCATCACCTGGCCCGAGGGACCCACCTTCTAGTTACTTATCATAGTTACTGTTGTTATTGTCCTTATCACTGAGACCCTCCAGCCCAGCTCACCTTAAGAAAGGCCGGTGGACTGAAGGTGGGTGGGAAGGACAGCCACAGGGTCGGGGTGGCCCATCAGGGTCTGGGCAGCGGGGATGCCTCAGCTGGGCCTTGGTCCCCAGGGACCAGACGAGATCAGGCCCAGCAAGGCCAGGTGTGTGGTGTTCGGGAGATGCCACAAACCCAGGCTCCTGTGAAGTCTCCCAATTTTTAAGGAGAGGCCAAATTTTAGAAGATAATTTTGGGTCAAGGAAAACTGGGCTGGACTCTGAAGTGGGGCTGTCAGATGTCACCCTCTGCCTTTTCACCTCTGATATCCAATAGGACCAGGATGTGGCTTTATAAGGCCCAGGACTCTGGTATGCAGACAAACACCTTGATTTGCATATGACCAAATGCAAAGAGGTGTGAGAGTGCACCTGCCCTTCTCCCTGTTTGCTCCTTCTCTCCCAGCCTTTGGGACTGGAACATCCGGAGGGCAAGGGGTTTGTCCGTTTTGTGCAGTACCTCCAGGGCCTAGACCTGCACCTGGCACCAGGTCCTCTGAATGAATGAATGAATGAATGAATGAAGGTCAGAGGGACACGTGATCCTGGAGATAGGCGAGCGACACAGGAAGGATCGCAGGTGCTGCTGCCTGGCTGAGTGGCAGTTCATGGCTCCTGGGGGGCCTCTCTCTGCTCCCCGGTGGCACGGTGCAGGCCCTTCAGAAAGCGCCTGAGTCTGCCCACCCTGCACATGACTCACTGACCCAGTCATTCCATCGCAACCCTGGAGCTGCCCCTGAATGTGGAAAAAGGAAAGCTCCCCAGGCAGAGATCTGCCAAAACACATTATTTATAACATCGAAAAACTGGAACCAGTGAAGGTGTCCGACACCGAGGAGGCTGCTAAATAAACCATGGAACTTCCACTTTGGCAAATCACTAGGCAGCCAATAAAAACGAGGCTCCGGAAAGAGGAAAGGAATGGGCTTACGGAGAGCGAGTATCTCGAATGTGCCCGGGATAGAACGGCAAGTCAGAAAGGCAGGATGCCACCGGTTTGTTTTTTGCTTTTAATATACAGTATGATCTCAGCCATGTTTTTGAAAAAAGTCCCCAAACAAAAAACTATGGGAGGAAATACATCAAACCTTAACAATGATTGTCTCTGCGTGGTGGGGCTGCAGGGCGATTTTTCTTCCTTATTTTGACTTTTTTGCATTTTTCACATTTTTACAAGTGAACGTGTATTGTTGCTTTGATGGTAAAGCCATGAAATAAAAAAAGAATTAGAATGTGGGGGTGGGAGTGGTTGCTTTTCTAAGACTTGACTAGGTCTCTGAGAAGGAAGGTCAGACTCACCTCCAGGGTGCCAGAGGGTCCCAGGCTCGGGGTCTGGCCACCCAAGTGTCAGAATCAGGGCCGCCTGTGTGACCCTGGGCAGCTCGCCCCACCCCTTTGGGTGTCTGTGGCATCACCTGTCAAACAGGGCCTGGTTCTCTATTTCACAGGGTGTAGCAAGATCAGGACCAGAATGTGGCTTTGTAAGGCCTTCGGGAACTCTGATGGAATGAAGTGGATGGTATGGTTATTATCAGCTCCCGGGAAAGCCAGTTCTGATAGCAGACACCTCAGGAAGGTGTCAGCATCCTCGTCAGGGCAGCCTGGGGGTATTTTTGGCCCCATGGAGGTACAGATGTGACTGACTCATTTTGGAAAGTAGAACTGGGGTGATTTCCAGAAGCACATCACCCTGTGGGGGAGGAGCATAGCAGGGGGTTAGAATCCTGAGTCCCGGCTCTTCCCTCACTACTGTGTGACCTTGGGTGAGTTACTCAGCCTTCCTGGCATCAGCTTTCCCTGTGCCACAGGCTCTGGACACAGAGATCACTGAGATTCCTGCACTGCCTCAGTTTGAGTGAGGCCATCTCCTCCAGGCTCTTCCAGGCAGGGACTCGGGAGTCAGAGAGGCAGTACCGCAGGCTGGGGTGTCCAGAACCTCTCCCCTTGGCCTGTGGCCTCATTTCTAGTCCCTCGTTCCCTGAGAGAGGGAGAGGGTTGGGGGGGTGCGTTTCCCAGCAGCTCTCTGGAAGCCCAGCCTGCCGTGGTAGGACTGCCCTCAGCTCCTCTCTGCACTGTCTGTCCCTTTTGGCCCCTCCGAGGGTCCAGCAGTGGGGAGAAGGGTGGAAGCTGCTTCAGGGCAGGCAGTGTGTACAAGCAGCCTGCATGCTTAAGCAGCCTGCATGCTTAAGCAGCCTGCATGCTTGAGCAGCCTGGGGGTGACAATCGCCCCTGTCCTTGGTGCCACCAGGAACCCTAGACTCAGTCTGGGACACTCCCGGCCTCCTGCTCTGGCATGTGGTAGATGTGCGTGCACAAACCTGTCTCAGCCCTGCAGGTGCCGATCAAGGGCCCCAGACCTCATCATGGTCTAATTCGCCACAGGGTGGGTGCACACCCAGCACTTCCCCGAGGCTGGGCTTTCTGTGGGGGCCATGGCAGTGATTCTTCTCAACCATCTGTGGGACAAGCTCTGATGCCCTGCAGCGCTCAGAGAGGGTGAAATGGAGGCTCAGAGGGGTCAAGAAATCTGCCCAAGGTCACATAGCTCCAGCAAGGGAGTGGGCCAGGGTTTGAAGCCAGGCTGTCCGGCTGGAGTCTACACTAGTGACTGTGATACTCTCAGGCCATTTAGCCTTTTCCAGCTGCTGCTCTGGCCACTGAGAAGCTCAGCACAGGACAGTGGCTTCCTAAGGTCACCTAGCGAAGTAGTGCAGAGCCCAGACCTGCTCCCCGCCCCTGGGTTAGGGGAATGGGCTCTTTGACCATAAATGCCAGTGCCTTTGTCAAAGTCATCCTGGCTTCCGTGCCCAGCACAGTGCCTGGGACACAGGCCAGTGGATGATGGGCTGATTGGACTGGAATAACTTCCCTGTGCAATCATTTGTTCATTCATTTACTAAGATTCTTCTTGATGCCAAGCCCTATGCCTGGCCTTGTGGGTGCAGAGATGAGCAAGACACATCTTTTGCTCATAACCCAGGGACTTCCAGGAAGAGGTGACAGCTGAGATTTGCTTGGAGAGAGGAGGGGAAGAAAGGGCGTTGTGGGCCTAGGGAATGGCGGATGCGTTTGGGGAAGCCCCCATTGGTGGAAGAAGAGAGGGGCTGCCTGGATCTGACTCTGCCAGGGCCAGCGGGTGGGTGAGGGGTGGGAACGCAGACGGTAGGGAGTTAACCACAGGCTGGGGGGTCAGCTGCTTCATCCCCTGCCTGAGGCCCACCCCTGGGGAGGAGTGGAGAGAGGGGAGTGCCTTTGAGAAAAGGACAGGGTTGTTGCCTTTCTGGGTCACAACTGGAAGGGGAAGTGGGGGCTGGGTGGGGCTGAGGTCACAAGGCAGGAGCCATGGCAGGCAGATCCGTTCAAGCCGGGGTGGGGAAGGGACAGTTCTTCATGCGCTAGTCCCTCAGAGGCTGGGGGAGCAGAGGGAAGTGGACCCAGCGACTGGCTGCTCTGACCTCATCTCCCGCTGCTCGCTTCCGCCCAGCTTCCCACTGCCCTGGTCAGTGGTTCTCTGCACGGGTGCAGCTCACTCCCGCCTCGAGGCCTTTGCACCTGGTGTCCCCACTGCCGGGGATGGCTTCCTCCTTTTAGTCATTCACCTTTTCAAACGTCACTCCTCGGAGAAGTCTCCCGCCCCCTCTAGACTGTACTGCCCCATCCCTGTCCATCTTCCCCGAACCCAGCATTCACTATTGCCCTCGTCACTGCCTGCTGTTGAAGGTCCCTTTGCTCACTCCTCCGTTGTCTGCCCCCTCTCAGGACACAAGCCCCACGGGGACAGCAGCTTGGCCCATCTGCTCACCACTGATCCCCAGCTCCGTGCACAGCGTCTGGTACACGTGGGGCCCCTCGGCACAGCACTGAGCACTCGCCGCGTAGCAGGCGCTGTCCTCCGGGCGGTAACTCATTTAATTCTGAAAATGCGGCAGGCAGGGGCCAGTCCTGGAACAGTGGGCCCCGCAGGTGAACCAGTCTCTGGATCTTTAAGGAGAACACACAGAGATTTATTAACTAGGAACGGTGCCTTGAGTGGGGGCCTACCCCCTGTTAGGTGTGAGGAAACGGAGGCACAGAGAGGTTAAGCAACTTCTTGGCTTGCAAGTGGCAGCCTTGGTATCTGAGGTCAGGAAATCTGAATTCAAAGACGCAGGAAGGTTTGGATGCTCTACAGCCTTCCCCTCTGTATCTGTCGATGGCCGGTGCCTCTGCCAATGACTTAACCTTCTTCGGGCCTCGGTCTCCTCATTTGGAGCCTGAGGATGCTCCCTCGGGGCGTCTCAATGCCCTCTCTCTCACCCTGTTGCCCGTCAGGGGTTTCGTTTGACTGGAAGGGCTCTGAAGTCATCCTCCACCCACCCATCCGATGGCCGTCTGCAGCTCTGCCATGGGCCAGGCCCTGCGCTAGGCCCAGAGGGTGAGGCCGTAAAGACAAAGTCACTGCTGGCAGGGAGCTCATTTGATGAGGGAAGAAGGCAACAACAAAAGACCGAGATATGGCGGCTTGTCCTCATCACTGGGAGGGGAATTCAATAGAGAAAAACCAAGCAGGTGAGAAGGGGGGCCTGGCAGGGGCAGGGCGGTCAGGGAGGCCTCACTGAACAGGTGACTTCTGACCTGAGAGCTGATGGGGAGAGCTGCGAGCCAGGCAGGCATCTGTGGGGGAAGACAGCTGAGGCGGAAGGAATAGCAAGGTTTGGGGAAACAGTTGCAGTGCAGTGAAGGGGGCCGAGGTCAAAGGATCTGTGGGTGCAGACCGTGTGGGGCCTGCGGGTTGCTGTCAGGATCCGAGGAAGGTGGGAACCCCTGGAGCGCTTTGAGCAGGGCTGTCTCCGCTCCGCAGGCTCACTCTGGCTGCCGGCGGAGGGCAGAAGAAAGGAGGCCAGTCGGGCGCCCACTGCATTTGTCTAGGCGAGGGGTGCTGGTGGTCCAGACTGGGGAGGCGGGGGGAGACGTGAGAAGCAGCTGGACTCTGGATTAGTTTGAACATTGGCCACACAGGGTTTGTAATGGGTTCCAGTGAACTACTGCTGTGTAACAAACCAACCCAAAACTTAGTAGCTTTAAACTACAAGAATGTTTTTATTATTTCTTGTAGTTTCAGTGGTCTGGGGTGGGCTTGGCTGGGGGGTCTGGCTCAGGGCCTCTCACACAGTTGCAGTCAGTGGCTGTAGCTGGAACAGCAGGGTGGGAGCAGTGGTGCTGGAGGGGCTTCTCTCTCCACTTCTGTCCTCTCCACCGCTCTCTCCGGTGGGGCTTCCTCACGGCACGGAGGCCCACAGCTGCCCAGGCTGGCTCCCCAGGGGAACCACGCAGAAGCTGCATTGCATTTTGTGACGAGACTCAAAAGCCAGGGCGTTGCTTTTGCAAGTTCAAGCCTATGCAGATTCGAGGAGAGGAAACTGCTGAAACGTGTCTCCATGGGGGGAGCAACAGCGTCCCACTGTGAGAAGGCCTGGGGCAGAAAACATGGCTGTGGTCCTCTCTGGGCAATGCCACCTGCCACAGGCTGGGGACGCCAGTTCGAGGGCTGTCACTGTGTGACAGGACCACAGTGCGGCACCTCCTCGAGCCTCCATTTCCTCCGTTGTAGGAGGGAGCGGGTACTAGCTACACCCTAAGGTGGGGATTTCACACGAGCCTGCTGCTGACCAGGATGGGCTCGGTGAACCGGAGTGTCCCTTCGCCGCTTCCCGCCAGCCCTGTGTCCCCTCCCCCACATGCAGCTGGAGAGGCCGCCTCCACAGAGAAAGTGGCGACAGGTGCTGGGCGGCTGTGCCTCGAGGAGTCTGCCCCCCTTTGTGTGTGTGTGTGTGTGTGTGTGTGTGCACGAGTGCAACAGGGGTGCTTGTGTGTGCACACCCATGAACTCGTGTGCTCTCTCCCAGCCAAGCCACTAGCCAGCTGCTCGTTCAGGACACCTGGCCACATCCTCCAGAACTGGAAGCTTACCTGGCCCTTGAGAGGGTTCCTCTCAAGCCTAGTCCTCAGGCAGCCCTCCTTCCCTGGGCCAGGCCTGTCACTGTCACCTCCAGGCTGCAGGGGCCTCCATCCTCCTGGTCCTCCTCCCCAGGGCCCACACGGTGGCCCCCTCCCTGTGGACATAGGCATGCAGTCTTTGAAAGGGCAACACTACCCGTCAGAAGGCAGGCCAGTGGCTGTCAGCAGCTGGGCCAGAGGGGCGTGAAGGCACTTTTAGAGACAAAATGTTCTACATCCTAATTGAGGAGGAGGTTACATGACTGCGCACTGAGGTTTGACAACTGGCAACTTCCGCAGTGTGTACATCGCACCTTGATAAAGGCAACAGCAACACCACCTCTCCAGGCTCCTCAGCCGTCCTGCACCTGGCGCAGCAGTAGGTAGAACGGACAGAGTTCCGGTCCTCACGGGAGCGAGCGGCGGGAGGCAGCAGACACAGTCACTCCAGGGGATGTAGTGGGGGGGGGGGGGTGCTACGCAGAACATCAAAGCAGCCGGGGAGACAGCAGAGGCCAAGCTCATTTCAAGGTCTCGGGTGACTGGCTTTTTCCCAGACATGTCCCCTCGAAGCGGTTCCCCCACAGCCTGTGCCAGCAGGAGGAGACACCAGAGGGAGGGGACACACAGATGCTCCTGTGCTCCCACCTCAAGGTCAGGGTGAGGGGACTCCAGCGGGTTCAGGTCCTTGTGAACGTGCCCTGGGCGCACAGGTTCTCCTAGGCCACCAGGGCAGACACACCAACACTGGACTCTGGCCCGAGTACACGTCCACACCCCAGTTTTGGTGCCCGTCCTCTTTCACACACACCCTATGGCTTCCACACTCTCTGCAGGCACAAGCACGTACAGGCTGGTGCACACGCACGCTCACAGGCTCACCTCAGCTCTGCTGCACACGCGGGAGGAGCTAAGGCTATTGAGCACTTACTGTTTACACATTCTATGGCATCTGCCCAACAGCCCTGCGAGGCGGGCGCTCTCACGATCCCACGGTACAGATGGGGAAACTGAGGCACTGGGGAGGGGGGTTCCCAAAGTCTGAGCCTGACAGTGGGGAGTCAGGGTCTGAAGCCAGGCTGCCTGGCCCTGGGGTCTGGTGTCTGTGGCTCCCCATAAACACCACCTTGTGTTGGGGACGCCCATCTCCAGTGTCTCTGGCCACCCAGAGGCCCCACGCCCCGTGTGCGCCCAGCACCCCAGAGCTCACAGAGTCCTCTGCTGCCCTGAGATGGGAGCAGGGCAGGTCGTTACCTCCACTTCGCAGAAGAGGAACTTGAGGGAGAAAGGATGGTAAGGGTCTTGCTCAAGGTCAAGCTGGGGCTGACAGCCAAACGAGGACTAGACGGATGTCCCTGCCGCCTGCTCCATCCACCTTGCCCGCCCCTTGGAAGTGCTGAGCTGCTGGTCTCGGCCAGGTGCACCGTCCTCTGCGGCATACTCAGGACTCTTCTGGAGAGCTGTGAGCAAAGAGAGGTGTGAGTGGGCAATAGCGCATCACGGGCGCTGGGTGGGGCGGGGAGCTTTCCCAAGCAGGCACGATGTTCCGCCTGGTCTTAAGAGGTTGTGAGGGTGAAGGAAGAGTCTGAGGGGCAGGTGTCCTGGGTCCTGAAGCTGCTCCTGGGCCTGGCCGCTGCGGGGGCCTGAGCGCAGCAGGCGTGCCTCATCCACGCCTGTGGTGGGGGCGGTGTGTCCCAGCCAGGGGGACAGGGACCAGGGAGGACCCTAGAATGCAGACTCCCGGAGGGAGAGCTGGCTCTGTGTCCCCTCGGCCCGTCTGAAGGTGAGGTGTGCTGGCCCAGGAAGCGTAGCTCCCAGCCTGTCCTCCATCCTTCTGTCCTCTGCGGGAGGCTGTGCTGGCCAGGATTGTTCTCAGGTTTAAAAATAAAGGCATCTTGGCCCGCACCCTGCCGGCAGAGCGGAGGATGGGGCGGCCAGGCCCCAGGCTGAAGGGCAACTGGCTGCAAGAGGAGGCCTCAGCCAGCACCGCCGCTGGCATAGCTGGGAGTGGGGGTGGTCCCCAGAGGGTCCCCAGCACCTCAGCTTCTCCTGCCACAAGGGGCACAGGCTGAGACCGTTTGGGTGCCCGCTGCCTTTGGCTGCCTTCTCCTCTGGCCACCAGCGTTGCCCCTCACCCTCAAAAGAAGCTTCCAACAACCTGGGGCCACTGCAGGGACAGGAGCTTCCTGATACCCTCTTTTTCTCCGCCAGCTGGAGACTAATGATAATAGCAGTGCCCCAACCACCCCCTTGGGGAAGGTGCTGTTGTTAGCACCATTAGACAAATGAGGGAATCAAAGCTCAGAGTGGTTTAGTAACTTGCCTAAGGCCACGCAGCTGGTCAGTGGAGAAGCCCGAGCTCACGTCCAGGTCTGTCTGACCCTTGAGTGAGGACCTAACCAGGTGCCCCTCGGTCCCTTCACTCCAGTGCTCTGCCTTCCCCTGCTCCTGCCCCAGGCCCTTTGAAGGCCAGCAGAGGGAAGAAGCTTTCTACTTCCCCAACATGGCCAGGGGTGGGAAAACCAGGTGGGAGTGGGAGAAGGAGGGAGGGAAACAGCCAGGGCCTGTGTGGGGGTTGGGGGGGTGGGGATGTTACCTTATTAAAATCTCACACCAAGCCCTTGCACAGTGGGCTGTCCCCATTTCGTAGATGAGGAAACTGAGGCCCAGAGAGGCAGTCACTGATAAGATGCCATTGGAACCCAGACCAGCCCAAAGCTCTTCCCTTACACCTAGGGACCGAAGGGTTAACAAGAATCTCCAACACAGAGCGTTACCTCCCCTCCCCCAGCAGGGTTCAAGTGTAAACCTAGAGGCACTGTGGGTGTGAGCAGCTGGAGGGAAGAGTGTGATGGGGGGCAGTGTTGCTAGGAGACCCGCTCCCCCACTCCGGGAGGGATGGTAAGTGGAGAGCCAGTAAGTAGTTCAGGGCAGTGGGAGTACAGGATGTCCCCCACCTGAGATGAGGCAGGCAGGCCGGCCCTCCCCTCCGTGGCTCATGGCCGCCAGCCTCCCGGTTCCAGATGAGATCCGGTGATCCCCCATCCGCCCCCGAGGGCTCTGCCAAGGTTGGCACACTGGTGCTGGCACCGGAAAGCGACATTCCAGAGGCCCCCTGCAACTCCCTGCCAACCCCAGATTCTTGGCAGAGCAGGAGAGCGGAGGCTTCTGGGAGATGCACGGGGCAGGGGCTTGGGAGTGAGGGTTAAGGTGGGGAGAGTTGTGGGAGGGGCCAGAGTCAGAACACCTGTCCACAGGAAGTGGGAGGAGCCAGGAACTGGGAGGAGCCAGGCCAGAGACCGGCCTTGCAGGGACTGTGCTTCTGCAGCCTGCTCACCCCCACCCCAGCTGCAGCCTGGGCTGGGGCCACCATGCAGCCAGCCCACAGAATAGGGCCCTGAGCCAGGGGTAGTGTCTCAGACACGGGGTTCCTGAAAAGAGACATCCTTTTCAGGTGCGAAGTTCCTCTTAGTGTCTACTGTAAAAGGTTTTCCAGGCAGAGCTCCGACTCCCTGTGTGACCTCGGGCAAGCCACATGCCCTCTCTGGGCCTCAGAGAGTCAGGAGAGGAGGGAAGCAGGTCCATCCTGAAGGTGTCCTCTAGCCAGCAGTCATTCTTATCCCAAGATTTGGTGATGTTGGTCTCCTCTCTGGTCTCCCTGGGGTCCCATCACTACACAGCAGCCAACAGGTCCTTTTATTCATTTACTTTTATTTTTAGAGAGAAGGAAAGGGAGGGAGAAAGAGGGGGAGAAACATCAATGTGCGGGAGAAACATCGATCGGTTGCCTTTCTCACGTCCCCAACCTGGAACCTGGCCTACAACCCAGCCACGTGCCCTGACCAGGAATTGAACCAGTGACCTTTCAGTTTGCAGGCCAGCACCCAACCCACTGAACCACACCAGTCTGGGCCAATAGATTCGGACACTGGCTCCCCTGCTCATCACCCTGGGGGGGGGGCCCGTCACACAGGGAACTCTGGCCCCTCTGGGAGTGAGGTCCAGCCTCCCGGCTACCCCAAGCCGGATGAGTTTCTCCTCTCCTGGCTGGTGCCCTGGAGCCTCCTCTGACCTAGATGGTCTGACCCCACCCAGGCCTCCGAATAGTTCTTTCTGCTCATCCAAGACTCAGCTCGAATGTTGCCCCTTTTGAGGCCTTCGCCAACCCTGTCTCCACACCAGGGTCCCCCGCCCCAGCCGGCTTTTCAGATCTCTGATCTATTTCCTTGGTCATTTGTCATGACCAAGATGATCTTGGTCACTTATTGTTTACTTGCTGATTGTCCTTCTTCCTCTGGACTGTCCACTCGGGGAAAATGTGGTCGGGCTCATCGCTCTGCGCAGGGCCCAGCACGCAGCAGGTCCCCCGTGGGTCATTTTTAAATGGATGCCTACGAGACTTGGAGGTTTTGCCCAACTTGCCCAGGCCCCTGGATCTTCAACGTGTGCTTTTCGCCTGGGGGGGCTGATGCTCCATCCCTCCCTCTGTGGCTTCCCTGCCCAGACTAGTGGTGAAGTTCTTGGGGACTCAGCTCTGAGCCCGCAGCCAAAGGGCTGGCAGGGCTGGGAGGGAAGATCCGTGACCCCTGGTCCCCTGTAGTCAGTTCCCCAAGAGCTGGAGCACAGCCCTGGACCTGGAAACCCCCTGGGTCTGGCTGTTGGGGTGGTGATTCTGGGGTGACCTCATTGCCTTGAAAGGAGGGCAGCAGGGGCAGGAAGTGGAGGACGAATCAGAGGAGCTAAATTTAGAGCATTTGATTCAGCTTGGGCCAGACAATATTCCTGGAGTCCCCATTGTTGTGAGGGGCCAGAGGGCAGAATGTCCATTGAATGGCTGGGTCTGAGCCATGCCAAGCTGTCTGGATGTGCAGTGGTTGGGGGCAGTGGGACGGGTGGCCCCCTTCCTGCCAGGGGAGAACCCAGGCCCAGGGTCATTGGGGCAGAGCCAGGGGGCGCAGGGCTCGGGGGTGCCACTCTTGGGATTAAGGCCAAGGTGAGGAGGAGGAGCTCCGCAGGTGAGGAGGGGGCTCAGGTGGATGACAACCTCTCAGCTGTGTAGCTCTCCTGGACCACCGGACCAGGACCACCGTCAGCCCTCTTCTCTACTCCGCCATCCACAGGCCAGAGAGGCCTGAGGCTCAGACCCGGTGTGGCTAGTTGCTTACACCGGGAGCTAGCTGCCGGAGGCCACAGTGTCCTGACTCTCGGCCTGTGCCCACAGCAGTCAGCTGGGCCTCTGGCCCGCTGCCCTCCCACCCGGCCATGCCCATGCATGCAGCCCCAGGGCGACAGAAGAGGGTGGCTCTGCCTGCTCAGGCTCTAGGACCCGTTGCCATGGCAACCTGGGGTCCAGCCTGCCCCACTCTGGAGATGAGCCTTAATCCAGCTGGGGATTTCCTCGGGTGAGCCGGCAGGGGCTGGGGGGCCTTCTGACCTTGGCCTGCCAGAGCCTGGGACTGGGCCAGCAGCCCAGCCTAGCTGCCTGGGCTGATCACAAGGGCTAGGCCACTGATCCTTGAGGGTGTCCTGTTTCTGCACCCACGCCTCATGCCCACACTGTGACCAGGCAGCTAAAGAAGGGTGGGGACTGTGCCCAGTTCAAGGCCACCTGCAGCCTTGGTGGGAGAAAGCTCAGCAGGCCAAGCATCCGAGAATCTCAGGCCCCTGTTGAGGCTTCCCACCTTCCCTCTTGCAAGTCCCATTGATGCCCAGGGAGCCTTTTGGGCCACCTGCCTTGAAAATGGGGGAGGGGACCAGAAGGCCCAACAGACCTGCTGTTCCACTGACAAGCACAGGGAGAGGACCTACGATGCCCGGAGTGAGGCCCTTGCCTTCCTTCCTCTGTCCAGCTCAGGGACAGTTTTGAGAGTGAGGCCAGCCCCTCCTCCACCCCCAGTCCTTTATGGGTGAGAAACCCGAGGGCCTGGGCCAGGAAGAGCCTGGACTGAGACCATTCACGGGCCAGTAGATTCACCTGTCCTCCGGGGCCCTGCCCACCGCACGACGGGACACCAGACCTTCTTTTCCTTTAGCCCCGCTGCCCCGCTGCCCTGCCCCGGGCGGCTGCCCGAGGCTGTGCACTGCTGCTCTTGATTTCACAGCATGACTCATGTTATCGTGTTCTCAGGAGCTGAGTAACCACCTGAGTTATTTATACTCTGGCTTCCTTCCCTCCTCCCAGAACTCGGGCAGGGAGGATGAGGTGGGGGTGGGGAGGAACCTGGGAGGGGGGATGTGGACTGGGAGAAGGCAGCTGAGCACCCCCCATATGCCCTCCCCTGGGGTACCACCCCCGTAAAGCACCCAAAAATAACCACGGCTCTCAGCACAACAGGATGGGCCTGGACCCACAGCATCGATATATAGGTGCTATGATGGTTTGGGGAGGGGGGAATTCCTTTTCCGAACGAGTCACCCGTCTGGAAAAATAAAGAAGGAAAAAGCTGAAATTTTTTCCTTCCATCAAAACAGGAAGGAGCTGGGGGAGGTGGGAGGGTGGGTAGGGAGATGACGGGTGGCGGCCGAGAAGCATCCTCCGCCCCGTGGTGGTCTTCGTGGAAGGGAAGCCCCACGTGCCTGCCCTCTGCGGCCCACTGGCCCAGGCCTGGCCCCAGGTGTCCCCCGTGCAGGCCAGAACCAGATGATGGGGCGGTTTTGTGGTCCCTTCCTCCCCATCCTGGGTGCGTTCAGGGGCACACACAGGTGCCCGCGGACCCACCAACCTGTGTTTCCCCTGGTCCCCAGGCCACACAGACATGCGTGCCCAACCCCCACATGCCCCCATCAGAAGCCACAAGAGGAAAAGTCTCAGGCTGGGTGGGTGGGACTTGAGGG